CATCAGATGTTTCACATCTTCAAACTTTTATATTCCATTTCCCCGATGATCCTACCCCAATACTATAACCTCTCTTCACAAGCACCTTGGCGTTACACTTGATAGAAAATTGGACTGGTTCCACCATTTACAGAATCTGGAAAAGCGGGCAAGCTCACTCGTCGGTATTCTTTATGGCCGTCTCCCCCACATTTCACCGAAATGCCGCAAGACCTTTTATCATACATACGTTTTGACCATTTTCTTGTATTGCTGTGTGGTGTGGTGTTGTTGTTGTTGTTGTTGATTTTTATTTTGCTTCGCAAGGCCAAACGGGCAATAGTGCCCAATTCTATGGAAGCGAATTTCAAAAGGGAGAGAGCTACGGGGAGAGAGAGAGAGAGAGAGAGAGAGAGAGAGAGAGTGGTGTGGCGCTGGTAATGGCCTCTTTGCAAAGCTGGAGATGGTGCATCGACGGATTTTCCAGGCAATGCTTCGTTTGCCGCCCGAGACCAACATAGCCGTTCTCTGCCCCTTCTGTTCATGCATTGCCCTGCTCTAGTAATGGTTCATGAATCCGCCCAGTCCACATTCCTTCTCCGTTTTTCTTTCCTTTCAGTTGCATCTTCCTCTCTGCTATGTTTTATTTTCTCTTTTCGTTCGTCCCTCTTGATATTTGTACTTTGTACTGTTGAGGCAACGAACTGAAATAATAAAAACCAAACCAAACCTCTATGAAAATTGCTGTATATTTCCTCGGAAACATTACATTGACCGATTCTCCTGCGTATACATTCACGAAATCAAACTTATCACCGCCCCTCAGCATGTGCAGCATTCCTTTAACTGGTTCAATGTATCCTCAACAAGCCGGAACTCGCTTCGTGTCGCGAATGCAATAAACAACTCCATGAGCCACTCGCCTGTATTCCTGGCATACCAATTATGGGATTCTCTTCTTCAGCAATTAAAGTCCAGCAACCCCCTCAATGCGTCTTTAAGCTGAATATTATACACGTACATGTACGTTGACCTTCATTTACTGATCATTGATTTTAATTTTTTTGTGTATTACTTCAAGCTGCAAAGTAAATCACCTATGCTAACTGTACAATTGATTTTGGTTTTGGATGGATTTACTTTTATTTCATTTTCATTTTTATTTTTATTTCAACTTGCCATATTGTGCGCGTGCATTTTGCCTTCTTGTTCTTTTATTCCATGGCAGGTAGCCCTCATTCATTATATTCGTTGACACCATGTCATCCATGAATTGAGAATAATACGAATAATCTAAATATCTATGGCTGAAAGAGATGATTCTGATGAACTACATTCTGATAAAATTGCGCACTGTTTAGCTTCTGGCCGTTGTGCAATATTTATCCTTTTGTTGTCAAATCTTCCAACTTTCTTTAGTTTATTTTCATTCAGAGAACTAATGATCTGTCGTATGTTATTCCATGAAGACGTAGTGAAGATTTCTTCAAGAAATATTGAAGGAAACGGAAGTTGTTGTCGTTCGGACATGTACCTTCCAGTATGGCGTGCGCGAAGGGTCATCCCCCCTTATTAATGAAACTGGCTCGCTGACCCTCAAAAAGATGCATGACGCTAACGTTTAAACTGATCAGCCTACAATACATCAAGGCGTTAATAGGCCACGCAAAGTCTTACATGTACATGTAACGTTAAATCATGACATGCACATGTACTACTTCCTATCAACTGGGAAGTGTTCAATCATCAGCTCCACGTACATGATCATCCACTATGACCGGTATAATTATCATGTGCGTGAATTTGACATTCAATGTCAGTGTTCTCCAGGCTTCCATTCCGTATGAGTACAGTGAATGGCTACGGTGGAGTCATCGCATTTGGAAAACAGGTTTTCATGAGACCAGAGTAATTCTTAGACTTAGGCATTTCTCTTTGTTCTCTCCTTGAGAAAAGATACCTTTACTTCAAACTGTTGTTGGTGTTTGTGTGCGTGTATTTAGAGTTGCGTTACAAACAGGCAAGTACAGTCAGTATCGCCTATAGCGTTGGTGTTTGATTTTGAGCATTTTATCACTATAAGCGATATATCACTATGACCGATACTGCATGCAATGAATGCGAGTGGGGTGTCAAACGACTCAGGGCGCCGTGCACATACGCACTGCATACCTGGCTACAGGTCATGTCACACAACCGTCAGCATTTCCTCACGATGGAGGGATATTTGGCAACGTGTACAAGAGGAACCCACCAAACAGCACTGGACAAGTTAGTTCTTCACGAAGAAGTAACACCCTGTTCTCCTTTGACCCCTTGATTTTACTTGAAGCCTGCCTTTTTCCATGGATGCGAGTATTTTCAGAAGTTAGTTTCTTCGAAGAACAGATAAGCAACAGTGCAACGATATTCCACCTAGTCAGAGCTTTGATGCTGTCCCCATTTCTTCAGAAAACGATACTGAAATTTCTTATGACTCCCACGATAAGGATCGGGAAGAGCCTGAAATACACAGTATATGGGGTATTTTCAGAGACAACATCTGGATAGTGTTTGATAAAATCATCAGTGAGTTGTGAAGCAGAAGCGCACTCAATATCGCCCTCACCGAGTCAACCATGTCCAGACCATTGCTGCCCGTACTGGAGAAGAGGAAAGCTAAATTGTAGACGTTCCTCAGAAGTCTGCGACAATATCCCAGGACTGAGTTACTGTTGTCATTTGTCGGTTGCTATGAAACCTTGGAAGCAGCAATTTCATATTACATTTTATCCCTACATACACTACATCAATGCGTGGGCAAATCCGTACCACTACCAACCGACTAATGGTTGTAGTCAGGAGCACTGTTTTCTCACTCCATTCTTCTACCGCCTTGTAACATCTAGAGGAAGGACCGAGCACTTAGAACAAGTACTTCTATTAGCTCAGAACACAACAATCAACTGACCATGCCTGCTTGAAGAAACTTAGCCATACGCAAGACGAACACGTGGCCATCCAACAAAGTATTACGTTCGCTTGGACATGACGTCATAGCGCCTGGGGGAGAAATCACTACTTTAACTGAGTACTTGTCCTACGCAGCAGGATGAGTTGTGTGAGCAACCAACATCATCAGTTAGACACACGTAAAGCACCAGTCATGCTGTCCCCCGTGTGCATGTACATTGTATATTGAGAAATCACTACAAAGTATGTATAAAGGTAGATGATGTTGAAATCCAAGTTCACTTTTCGCCAGGATGAGAACCGATCAGAGTGTTCATCGAGCCATTTCCTGTATAATCCTTGATGAGAAGGGACCGAAAGCGTTCGGATACTTTGACAAGTGCCTTATTTTGACTGGATGTGTGTTTGCGTGGATACTTACGACCCAACACGTACCTTCGTTATTAAAATAAGAATAATAATAATAATAATGTAACTCGGACTCGCTGACTGTATAAGATCTGGTTACGTTGGTGGACCGTTAGTCATAATTAAAACATTTTGTCTTTTTTCTTTTCACAATATTAATAATTATCTTTATGTGGGCCATAAAGAGTAAAACAGATGCAGACATGGCCAGACAACAACGAGTTAATAGAATTTTGAAGGATTTTTAATTATTCAAAATCGATTTTCGTGTTCCGCTCTTCACTGAATATTCTCCCCGTCCATGTGAAACACCGTTCACTAAAAATCAGTTCATGGAGAACACAAGTCCACTCAACGACGTTAATTTGGACATGACATCATTGCTCCAGGGGAAGGAAGTCCTCTTGATCCTACATAGCAGGCCGTAATTTTTATGCAACCCGCGCGAGCAGCTAGATACCCGAATTTACCTAAGCACCAATCATGCCGTCCTGACCGAATGCTGTAATAGTCACGTATTGGCAGTATCAGCTGTACCACCGCGAGAGACCCATACATGTACATACATATACACAATCAGTATCCGTAGCCTTTGCTTTTCACAACGTGCCGTCCCACCGGTACATGTAGTACTATAGATGCATTCTTGTGAAATCCAGGTTCACTTTTCACCGGGTTCAGGGGAAATCAGAGTGTTCATCGTGCAGTTATTGTTGTTCTTTTCCTTAGTAAACATGGCTGCGTCTGAAGAGAAACAGGGCTATAATACTCCACCTACTCAGTGTTTGGAGGTTGTCTCCATTTCTTCTGAATACACTTCCAAACGTGCAATGACTCTCCCGACAAGGATCATCCGAACAAGCCTCATAGTCTCTTGGCAGTACTAAGAGACCAATATTGGCTAGCGTTTGATAAAATCGACAGTTACCTGCCAGATAACAGAATCCTCAACCTCTCCCTCACCGACTCCAGAATTCTGGCGGTCTTGGAGAAGAGGAAGGCTAAATTGTGGAAGGTGCTCAGAACGCCATTAAAATATCCCCGGGCCTCGGACCCTGGAACTGGAACGTTCCCATCTTAACGGCGTACAATCAGTCATTGCATATGAGTCTGAGTTAAATGCAATTTGTATAACTGGCTCTTGCTCACCGCCGCCTACCCTAGACAAATGTCTCCAACATCGTCTTCGAAGGTATAAAAAGACGCTTCGGCGCGGAGACAGGGAAACTTCTAAATTTCTTACAATGGATGGATATTATTTTGTACTTTTTGACCTAGAAGTCTTAGAATCCAAAACCTGCGCGGAACATCCCTTAGAACTTGGCAATTTATAAATATCTGTAATCGTGTGGAAACTTAACATCCTCAGTCCCCGATCATTCAAATACCAACATTTCCAACATTTTACCGTAACGTGAAGTGTTCTATGCCATAAAAGACTAAACAAAATTTGTATGATGAAGATTGTCACCTTTTCGTGTTGTTATTTTGACGAGTTTGAGTTTCATAATTATGATTACCGCAATCCAGCAGATCACTTGCAGTTGACTGCATACAAGCAACAGGTAACTGCATACAAGCACTGTTCTAGACTCCACCCTCCCCCCCCCCCCCCCGAAACGCACGCCATGACATCAGGAAAGTAGGGTTACAGGGATTCCCGGCCGCATCACGTGACGTGTCTAGGAACACACCAAGCTAAATACATTCGCATCCGTGGCCCACCACTTCGCATAATTATATTCTCATTGACAAATGCAGACCTCACAAGTGAGTCCGAGGCGGGGGAGAGGGGAAATGTCTCTCAACAAATGATTGGCACAATCATTCACACTTCCCAGAAATTTACATCAGTTATCACAAATGCAGACAGTACTGTGGGCTCCGCTCTTGGGTGCCTGACAGAGTATGGCACGCACGGTTTTTGTCCTGCAAGCGTACAACAATGACTCCCCTCACCACAATAACACACACAATACCTTTTCTACAGATGAGATTAATGGTGAAAAATACGAGACAACCACTAAAAATAACCATTATGGCATTCTACTGTGTCAAGGTTGGTGTGTGATATGCTACCACTCAAGTACGAGACCAAAGTAAGTTGCATGATGTACATGTAGATCTTATGTGACACACCGAAAAACTATCACATAAACCTACTCGTACAAAGTCCAAGAAGCACGCTACATGCATATGAGTGCACGAGTATAAGCAGCACATATTTATTGCATGAATATCAGTGAGCCAGAAATGGCTTATGCCGGCTCGCCACGGATGCGACGTGCCAACTTCATGTCCTTGGGCATGATGGTGACACGCTTAGCATGGATGGCACACAAGTTGGTGTCCTCGAAGAGGCCGACCAGGTAGGCCTCGCTTGCCTCCTTCATTGCAAAAAGCCACAAGAAAAGGATGCAGATCAAAGAGTGCACAGAAAAGGTCCAACACACCAGGGCAAATCACAGCAAAAGAAAACTGAAGAAAAACCCAAATATGACTGTGTCAAATCCTATGACCTGAAGAAGACGATCTCCGCCACAAATAACCCTTAGAAGTCTAACATGACTGGGGTGGTAACGGTGGAAAGTAAGTAAGTTAAACTTTGTCTGAGATTTTTTCCGTTTCCTTTCTTGGTAATCGATCCTGTATGCTTTTGTACGATTTCTGGCCATCAGGTTCCTGTGTAATTTCATGCCGAGCTCACATGGATGTGACCGTTCAACATTTTCGTATTTCCGTTGCATTTCTTTCGTACACTACCTGAAATTTCTATCAACCCACATGTACACAAAAGGAATTAAAGTAGGAGTGTTTCGTTGTGACGCAGAGTTTGATGGCTAAAACCAATCATGAGACAACACTTTTGTGTGCCTATTGCGTACTGTACTCTGCCTTTTCAGGGCATTTGAGCACTATTGCAGATTTCACCTTTTGGGGTCAACATTCGTAGTATCCCAAATGATGTCCACGATGTTTTGATGCCAATTTACATCAAGCTTGCCAGCAAAACATTGCTGGACCGCTGCCTGACGGGTGCCACACGAGTGCCACACAAAATGCCAATGAGAGCTTTAACGCTATGATCTTGGGCATGTGTGCGAAGGATAAGTTGCGGGAGCTGACACAATACGTCTTGCTGCTGGACTTGCAGTGTGCATTTTCAACACAGGAGCCAAGTCACTAGCCCAGATTCTTCAGACTGCAGGATGCCCCGTTGGTGAATACACCGTGGAGGCACTCAAACTGGAGGATAATACCCATATAGCCAGGTCGATACTCAAGGCTTCTGGAGAAGAGGAAGAAGTGTAGGAGGTAGAGGAAAGGGTTGGAGGAGACTACTATGGAGGAGGAAGGTGTCACTTACCAAACCGGATACTTCTGACCAAGTCATTGAGTGTCAAGCTACTGTTTGGTTATGAAGCAGAGCAGTTTGTGTGTTTTGAGTGTCATTTCCTCCCATTTTCAGGATATTGTGCCTATTTTTTCTCTTATGCTTCATTCTTTGTATGGAATGTAATGTTTTTTTAGAATTAGGTGGACAGCAGGTAGTACGTTTGCCTAAAATCAACATGTTGGAGTGCACCTCAGTGACAATTCATGCCTGTGGAATCTGATTATTTTTGGGGTGATACGGCATTTCCTCTTTGAGTAACCAGAAGCCAGCTATTTCGCTTTTACCACACTAAAGAACACCCAGTTGCACTCGATGTACATGCTGTGACTCCAGCTAGGACTTCTCTTCATTCCTTGCACTGATAGCATTCTTGAAAATTTGCGCGGAAATTTGCGTGCGCAAAATGTTGCGATATTTGAAGAAGCTGTAACATGGTTTAGAGCGATCTTATGATATTGTATCAAGTGTTCACTACAGTAGAAGGAGTGTGGTATGAGAAGTGTGTGTTCCAAATTTAAAGGTGATCCTATATCCCTACCCTTTACTACAACCGATAGTTTTTAGATAGATGCGAAAATGGCCGGCAAAGGCGTTATCCCCCACTGCCTCTGTGTACACAATACATATTTTCAATAGTATCTCATTCTTTTGGGCAGGCCGCCTCCTGTTGTAGAACATGCTCGTTAACTACATCATCCAATAGGGAACTGCTTCTCAGCGAGTAAAACACATCCCGTTCACTTAACCTGATCTTTTGCCCTCATGGTCATACCAAAGTTTTGAGCACATACAGTATTTGGAGTACTTCTTGTGAACAATATAACCAAGAGTACACAACCACTCCTGATTTTTATTTATTTATTTTTTTATTGGTAACACAGCCCTACAAAGAGGCATGTGGAGACAAACACAAGACAAGACACAGGGGATGTGGGGACGACGTGCCGATGTAGAGGGAGCAACTCGACCGATACTGTACTGTGACTGTGATTAGCATTACTAGTAAAAGTTCTTGAGGTGGAACCCGTCTCTTCGCCACTTTGGATAGAATTGCGCAGCCCACACACAACTGATGACACCACGATTTCATAACCCCCAAGAGTGTGCAACTCCTGATCAGTCCCTGTATGGAAGCCCGCTGGGCGGAATTCCTTCATTGCGTCATATTTGGTGCAGTGCGATGTGTCATGGGGATGATTTTTTCTACAATTTACAGTCAAACCAGGATGCTTTCCCAGGGTAAACTGCCTAAACTGCGATTCTAGTCTGAGCCTCCAGGAGCAAAAGTGAAACAAGGCACAGGATCGTAAAGAGAATTTTTTTGATGCAATGGGTGCTCTTCTTAGCATTCTTCTTTCACCAGTGCGGTCAATCTCTTCAAGAACAATTTCTTCCCCAGGCCATCGGCATATTTCGGTGCTTTCCTCGCAGATGATTTCAAATGGTTGAGGAACTGGAGAATACGTCGAAGGAGCATTTTTCGGCCGAGTTGCACAGCTATCAGAATGAAATGATTGTCCTCGATGGCAATGCAATATTTTTAACAGCGTCCTCACTTCTTCCTGTCGCGATGTCCATGGATTATTGGAGAAAGAGTTTGTTTTTGAGAACGTACGACTTGCACGTCCAAAATGTCTTCAAAAAAAGCTTCGAAATGTCGAGGCTACAGCCTTTAGTTAGAAGCGGTTCAGGGTATAGTTTCCAGAAATCGCAAAGAACCCCAATTTACCTTGGGTGACAAGCTGCGCATGACGTAATATAGGAATTTCGCGGAGCGCTGGGTCTATGCCCGTTGCACAATTTTGGGGGTTATGAACTCTTGCTGACAACCACACGTACGAAAGAAGTATATCGAGCGGACACCCCCCTCCGCAAAAGCTAAGCAAAAGACTTTGCGATTAGTAGCGTTAGGCGATGGCCAGTGTCCATAGCGCTATATTACTAGTAAATGTATGTAGTCTTGTAGAGCCGTGAGTTTCCTCATGTTCAAATTACAGTAGCTTCGTCAAATTATAAGAAAGTAAACACAGACTTCGAAACAAAGACTTTAGACTATCAGACTAACCTGAATGGCACAAATGGCTGCCGACTGAAAAAGAAGGTCAGTCTTGAAGTCGTGAGCGATTTCGCGAACAAGACGCTGGAAGGGCAGCTTGCGTATAAGAAGCTCAGTGGTTTTCTGGTATCGACGAATTTGACGAAGAGCGACAGTACCAGGACGGTATCTGTGAGGCTTCTTCAATCCACTAGGTCGGGGAGGAGCACTCTTACGAGCAGCATTGGTGGCAAGCGCAAATTGCATCCTTGGAGCTTTTCCTCCAGTTGACTTACGGGCAGAATGCTTTGTTCTAGCCATGCTGACACAGAAACACTTTACAGAATTTGCTTTTTAGACCTCTCAACGACTTCGGCAATGAACAACTAAATAAACTTGTACAACACAAACGAGATACTTGTACAGTCAGTGTGGCCTATAAGGTTGGCGGCTATAGTGCTAATATTATACCGGCTGGAGTGATCACTTTATCGAATTCATTTTCATCTGCCATAACTAAGTGCACACAGTTATCGGGTGTAGTAATAATCCTCTATAGTAATATATCGCCTATAGTGATGAAATTCATATTTCAAAAGAACTTTAGTACATTATTTTTTGCATCGGCTATAGTGATTGATGTACACATGTAAAATCAAGTGGTGTCAGAGGAGAACAGGGTGTTACTTCTTCGTGAAGAACTTACTTGTCCAGTGCTGTTTGGTGCGTTCTGCTTGTACAAGCTGCGAAATATGCCTCCATCGTGAGGAAATGCTGATGTGTGTCAGGAACTGTAGCCAGCTATGCAGTGCGTACATGTATGCGCACAGCCCCCTGAGTCAATCCATTCGAATACAGTGCACGCAATAATGATCATAGAAATAATTATATCGCTTATAGTGATAAAATGCTCAAAAGCAAACACCAGCGCTATAGGCGATACTGACTGTACGTCGAAACTTGACCACATTAGCCGGCAAAATCATTTCTCTCACTTGGAAATGATTGATTTTCAAGACCTCTGATTTGTCAAATCTCACCATTTACGCTGAAAGGTTGCTAGGCCCCGGCGGATAATGCTAGCATTACATCTAGCATATTTAGCACTTTCTGGAAACTAGCATTGCATTAGCAGGATCAGCAGGTTTTGCAGAAAACTAGCATATTCTTGCGAAAACTAACATATTCTTGCAAAACATGGGATTTTCGTGAGAATTAACAACACCCTAGCCCTCGCGATCGCGTGAGGCGGGCGCGCAGCCTCGATCATGCATGATAGTCCGTGAGCCAAATCTCAGAATCGGCCGTTTTAGGATCGACCGTTGCACCCAGAGAGGGACAAATCGTTCTTCAGCACACCGCTTCAGGATGGTATTCTGAAGCGATTTCCACTTGTTGGACAATTCGAAACTGATCCAGGGAGGTCACAGAAGATGCCAAACATCCAACTTTGCTAATTGACAGCAGCGGCCATTTTCGCCTTCTTCGCTTGATTTTTTGCGCTTGCTCACGGATTCTCATTTTTTGAAGCCATGAGCAGATACCACGCGTGTACATAACGCGGAAACCAGTGCACAAAACTAGATTCGAATTTTTTGGCTGCTGAGAATTATGAATCGGGATCATGCATGCAAACTGCATGGAGCAAAGTACACTTTACTGTGGTTAGAATCCAATCATTCCGAACTGACTTCCAAGAATGTCCTAAATATCTCTCGACATAATCTATTTGTTCACCACTTCCTAGGCCTATGGCCAGTATAGGCGTAGTAGACTGTAGTGAGTAACCTTCTGGAGCAAATGACGACTGCTCCGAGCATGAACTTCTTTTCATCCTGTTCAAGGTCTTAATATTACTCAGTGTGCGTTGAAGAATAACAATTACATTCGTGAATGGCCGAACTGAGAAAACCCTCATGATTTCTCTTGGATTTCGCATCCCAGGTTCCTCTACTTGGCTGGATAAATCGCCTCTTGACTTCATCATACTGGACTGGGACTTGTAGATAATAGCGAGCAATGAATTGGTGAGTGAAGTATATTTCAAAAGTAATAACCACTCCACTCTGATGCCCTGATGATGCCCAATGGGCGAAATATTGGCATAAGTAAATCTATTCGATGCAGCTGAGAGCCTGTTATGTACGGTGTGCAATGGAGGCATTTTACGATGTGAAAACTACGCTGCAATGGAGTCTGAGAGTTTTACGGAAACGTAATAACCACTCCATTACTGAATACGTAGAATACTCGAGTATAGAATGATATGAACACTGAAGCTAACAGATAACTACCGATATAAGATGATGTCACATACATACATACATACATACATGTATGCGCGCGCACCCACACCTGCACGCGTGCGCACACACACGAACCAGCTGCCGAATCCAACTATACAGTCTCCCAGGCACGCTCGCACACACATACACACACACATGAACCAGCTGCCGAATCCACACAAACACACGCGCGCGTGCGCACAAACACACATGAACCAGCTTGCGAATCCGAATATGCAGTCTCCCAGGCACGCGCGCACAAACACGCGCGCACGTGTGCCCACACACATACACATGAACCAGCTGCCGAATGCGACTATGCAGTCTCCCAGGCACGCGCGCGCGCGTGTGTGCACACACACACACCCATGAACCAGCTGCCGAATGCGACTATACAGTCTCCCAGGCATGCCCGCGCGTGCGCGCACACACACACACACACATGAACCAGCTGCCGAATCCGACTATGCAGTCTCCCAGGCACGCGACCCCAATGGGAGAAGAACAGACTCCAGGAGGATGCCGGATCAGGAGGGGCACACACCTCAGTGAGTGAAAACATTGCCGTTTCCGGTTACATGTCCCCTCGTGTGAGGGGCCGACAGACATGGAGAGTTTGGCTGAGGCGCAGTCTCGCATCAACGTCCTGGCGAGATCTCCTAGACGTTTCTTGAATCCATTTGTTGCAGTTGTGCAGCTAGAATCCTCAGGTTGACTTGCAACATGATCGCATTGGCTGCAGTGAGCTTTGCAGCAAGGTAGGGAGAGCCGCTGACGGGTGCCACAGGATGGTCCAACAGAGGTGACTTGCCGCCATGCACTGGAGTAGCAGATGGGGGCTTATCCAGTCATTTGCGGACTGTCAGTCCGCCATGATTGAGAAACCAGCGAAGACATACAGTGAATTGGCTGCTGCCAGACTGGTCTGCTACAGGTTTTTGACGCTCTTGAGTACACTTGTGGCGTGGCAGGCCGCTCTTCGAAAAGGAAATGTTACAAATACTACACTGAATCCGATCACGGGAGGCCGGCTGTGGTGGTGACGCAATTCTGAATGCTGTGTGCCACTCTCCTCGCTGCTGTGCAGTATCGAACCAATGTCCTTTAAGATGTAAGTGATGGATGTCTCTTCGGACAACATCACACCAATGCTGTCGGGTTTCACACACACACACACACACACACACACACGCACACACACACACACACACACACACACACACACACACACATGCGCAAATACACCAACACGCGCGTGTATACATACACACATGCAAATATACAAGTGCATATATGCGCACACACACCTTGCCTTGCGTACACCTGCCAGCGCCTGACCACACCGCTCCCGAAGGGGAACGACATAGCATTTTTGACGAGAACTTGTCTCCTGGGTGTTTGAAACGCAGCGCACAAGCCACACACTAAACGGTCAGTTCTCCACGCTGCTACATCCGGCGGCGCACACCTTGTCGACAATTGCGGAATCTAAAACCCACCACCGACCTGAAAAACGGATCGCACTGGCCGCAGTGGCTGTGGCAACACCGTGCCCCAACACCCGCCATCTGGCCCGCAGTAGTAGCCTGGGGTGGTGTCACCAACAAAGGAAAACGCCTAGCACGCACATGCACGCGCGTGCGCACACACATGCACGCGCGCACACACATGCACGCGTGCGCACGCACATGCACGTGCGCACACACATGCACGCGTGCGCGCACACACATGCACGTGCGCGCGCACACACACATGGACGCTCGCACACACACACACACATGCACACGCATGCACACACACTTGCGCACAAGCGCGCACACACACATACACAGGCAATTGTAATACAATTGCCTGTGTATGTGTGTGTGCGCGCTTGTGCGCAAGTGTGTGTGCATGCGTGTGCATGTGTGTGTGTGTGTGCGAGCGTCCATGTGTGTGTGCGCACACACATGCACGCGTGCGCGCACACACATGCACGTGCGCGCGCACACACACATGGACGCTCGCACACACACACACATGCACACGCATGCACACACACTTGCGCACAAGCGCGCACACACACATACACAGGCAATTGTATGGTATGTTGCCCGCAAAGCAGCCAGGTGCTCTGGCTTGGACCTTCAGCAGCGCTGGTATTGCCTCCGCTACTTGCTGGTCTCCTCCAGTGTTGCAATTGCTATAACACGCTTGCAATTGGTGTAGCACTTTCCATGATGCCGGCCACACCATTTACTCCTCCCTGAGCCCTTGTGCTGGCAGAGAATAGCCCAGAAATGGTCGTCATTCTCTCGAGCAGCGCTGACGATGCGACACCAACTTGTAGTCTCGATATTACTCACTGCATGCTTCTCGTTTCTACTAAATTGGGCGCTATGACACAGACACAAAATTCCTTTTCCGGGCATTTGAGCACTATTGCAGATTTCACCTTTTGGGGGTCAAAATTCGTAGTATCCCAAATGATGTGCACAATGTTTTGGTACCAGTTTACATCAAGCTCTCCAGCAAAAAATTGCTGGACCGCTGCCTGACGGGTGGCACACGGGTGCCACGCAAAATGCCAATGAGAGCTTTAACGCTATGATCTGGGGCATGTGTGCGAAGGATAAGTTGCGGGAGGTGACACACTACGTCTTGCTGCGGGACTGGCAGTGTGCATTTTCAACACGAGAGCCAAGGCACTAGCCCAGATTCTTCAGACTGCAGGATGCCCCGTTGGTGAATACACCGTGGAGGCACTCAAACTGGAGGATAATACCCAAATAGCCAGTTCGATACGCAAGACTTCTGGAGAAGAGGAAAAAGCGTAGGAGGAAGAGGAAAGGGTTGAAGGAGGCTACTATAGAGGAGGAAGGTGTCACTTTTTTCTTTTTTTTACTAAGGCCACAGCCAAACCGGATCCTTCTGACCAAGTCATTGGGTGTCAAGCTACTGTTTGGTTATGAAGCAGAGCAGTTTGTGTGTTTTGAGTTTCATTTTCCTCCCATTTTCAGGATATTGTGCCTATTTTTTCACTTATGCTTCATATTTCGTAGGGAATGTAATGGTTTTTTAGAATCAGGTGGACACCAGGCAGTTAGTTTGCCTAAAATCAACAT